CTTTTACTAGGTGGGATGTGTGGACGGAGAAAACATCTGTAAACAGTGAGTGCTCTTGAGGTTGGGGAATGAGTTCTGACATAGAGGCCAGGACACATAAACTATGGCAGAATTTGTGAACCAGTTAGGAGTTAAATTTTGGAGAAATAAGAAAAGAGAATAGAAAAGGGGGAGTGGTGGGCATTGGGGATAGTTCAGAAGGCTCCCCAAACACAGCTTCTTTTCTGACCAGCGAGGAGCAGATGGGAGTGGAACGTGCTCCTCTCTGAGAAACATCAGAGTGAAATGGACACTTCTGTCACTTTTGGGAGGTGGGACACAGAGAGGTGACAATGTTCTAAACCATGGCCTCTGGCACTGGAGGACTCCCTGGCGGGCTCCCCACCCGGGCCCCGCTAGGAACCTCCTTACCTTTGTTGCTTGCATTTGATCTGACACCTGGATGTCCCTGGGAGAGGAAAAGCCCAGGAGAGCCCAGCGGTCTGCATCTATTCCGAAGCCAAGAAGCAGTACAATAAAATTTACAGCGCCTTTAACAACTAGCAAGGAAAGCATTAAAATTCCCTTTAATTGAGAAAATATTGATTTTGAAGTCTAGAAAAGGGGAAATCGTAATTTAGCTGCGAACTTTCAGGCGAGAATACAGCGTATTATGCCGCCGTATTATGGATCCACCCTTTATACCCATGCAACATCACATCTTTAATTGCGCTACTTTATGAAGTGATAAAGACAAAAGATAACCCGACTTAGGCAAACACTTTACAAAAAAGGGGGGGGAGACCTAGAGTAATTTTGCTTTCCAGTTATTTATAAAAAAATTCCCCCCCTCTCTCTCTCTCAGAAAAAAAATACCCAAAGGGGAGAAAACAAATAAAAAGAACAGAAAACCACAGACACGTCTAAAAGCAACTCACATTAGCAAATCCGTTGATATTCTTTACCAAAGGAGGAATGAAGCCAACACATTTAAGAAAATGCATTAAGGGGCAGAATTGCATCCTCCTTGAAACAAACCGGGGTCTATTTTCTTACTTTACTCTCCCCTGCCCTTTTTTTTGGGGGGGGGACGGCGTAGGGGGAGCAGAACCCATTGGTGGACAGGGAAGGGAAAGAAAAACCAGGCTTTCTATGTGATTTCTGTATCGGTTTTTGGTATTATAGAGGAGTAAAGAAGTTTTTGTGTGGTGGTTTTTCATTGATCAGTCACTCTGAGCTAATGTAATTATCCTCATCAATAGGAGGCTGCAGAGAGAATCATTATGTGGGTGACATTGATAAATGATCGCCCAGGAACGGCCCTCGCGGGCAACCCCCACATCTGACCCTCCCACACACACAATGTAGTCATAGAAACACCTAGAGAACCTCGAGCCCCGCCGGGGAGAGGGAAGAAAAGCCCTAG